TGTTTACATTTTCGATAATTAATAACTATTGTCTACTCTTAGTATGAACCCTCTCTCTATTATACCAAACACATACACATAATATTATCATAAATAGTATGTGAACCTAATGATGTTCTACATTTTCTTTTAACTTATATTCTGAATTCGTCTCTTTGCTAACGATTGTCGAGTCTAGTTAGGTAATGGTTACTTCATATTGGAGTTTGATTTGGTTCATTAATTATAAAAAGATGATTGTCTAAACTAATTTGGTCATGATGAAGCTGGTCTTGTGGATTAATCAGGTATAAGATCTATCTATTATCCAAAATTACTTTAAATAAGCATACAACAAGCTCATGTCACATATATATAATGAAACATTATAGGATAGTGAAAGTTGTCAATGATAAATTCAACTTTATTTGTATACCTCAATGTCAAATATAGATATTAAAAGTGTTTGGGCTTTAAAAGGCGTGAAATGAAAAATTAAGAGTTGCGATTTTAATGTAAAGTTAAAACTTATATGAAGAGTTGTGACTTTTATAAAATGTTGTGATTTCAATGAAAAAGTTTTTGACCTTTTCGCAGGTTGTAACTTTTCATAGGATTATGACCCTTTTTTATCTGATAAGACACAATAAACATTTGTTCACACTGCCCTTTGTTGTCTAGAAATAGAGGTATTTCCACTCAATTTATGATAACCAATTTTATGGACTTCTTCTTCTATCACTAAATCTAGTATTTTAAGTGTACTTTATTATAGTTGAGTGGTTCGGTGACATCGTGGGTATAAGTATTGATGCACCGGTGAGTAAGATCGTTCTATCTTGAGAATATATATTCCGTTAACGTCGTGTACTTGAGCGGAATAATTTTCTTAAGGACACACTGTGCATTAAATTAACTCGATTTTCTTCTTTGAGAAAAATATTTTATATATTATTTTTCTGATTCTATTTTCTCTACTAATTTTGATTTTCTAGTTTGAAAAATACTCTTTAAAATTTATTATTTTTTATCAAATTCTTTAAATATTTTATTTTAAGCATCTTAAGAATATACGATGAACAATAAAAAGTCCTCCAAATTTTTCAGACGATCACAATCTTCTAAAAGATAAATAATAGGTTCCAAGCCAATAAAACAAATTTTCAATTAATAATATCGATAATATGATTCTTTTTTTCATTTATTGTGTAATATCTTTAATTATGTCTATATCAACTTTTTTTTTTAAAAAAAAAAAAACTTTTGAAAATACAATTTTATATCTACCTCATTTTCTTTTAATACCTTCAATAGTTATTCAACAATGCTATGATAAAACTTGTTTATCTGATTCATATTAGCTCCTAACAAGTCAATAAACTTGCACATACTGATTTAACAATAATTCAATAATGATATATTTAATATAATTTTAAAATTAATTTAACTTTTTAAATATTACTTTTTTAACATTACCTTTTAAATTATTATTATTATTTAAAAATCTCCTAATTAATTAATACTAAAAACTAGCGCAACGTGAAAAGGATTATTCAAATGTTTGTACTATTGAAGCTATGGATCACACTCAATGATCTTATAAATGAAGTTTCATTAAAAAAAAAGAAGATTTAATTTACTTATGAGCAAATCTTCATTCATTAAATTTAAATTTCGGTCCATAAAATAAATAAAGTTAAATGGAATGAATGTTTTGACGAAGAGTGAAAATGTTACTTTACTTTTTTGAGGAAGTAAATGACGACAGAAAAAAACTTTCAAGTGTTTAAATAAAAGCACATCGTGGTATTGTTGAAGGCCTTAGAAGAAAACAAGTTTAGAGTTTGTCATTGCTCGCTTGACTTCAAATTTAAAAATAATTAGATTTTTTAATGATTTTTACTTTTCTTTCTTAAAAATATCCGCATAATTTATAGTTTGTTGAGCCAATGTGAGATATCACTATTTACCTAAAGTTAATTATTGAAAGAATATATTTCAGAAATTCAAATGCGTAAGAACACATTATAATTTCAATCGTCGATTTTCTTTTTAATCTCATTTCTACTATTAGTTTTATTAGTATTTATTATTCATTTTTATTGAATACAAATTTATCACATATAAAACCATAGAATTAAGAAAATTAAAAATGAAGTATCATTGATCTATAGAGTAGGATTTTTGTGGTTGATGTGTCGACACATCCCCCTCCCCCGTCCCCCCCCCCCCTCTTGCTTTTTTTTTTAATAAAAATATCTCAAAATTAATTCTAGCAAAAAAAAAAAAAAAAATACCAACCACAAATTTCACAAAAAATAAATATTCTAATATTTTTTCATCTTTTCTTTTAAATAAAAAAATTTAAAAAAAAAAAAAAGCTTCTTATCTAACTAAGCAATAACCAGAGGCACTGAAAGCTTCATAAAAAATAAAAAAAATGGCGACCTTAACTTCTTCTACTCTGCAACTCACAAAATCAAACCCTTTCTTCTCAAAATCTCCTCTCAAATTCCACGCGCCGTCGTACTCTTCCTTCACTGTACGCGCCACCACTGAAGAATCTTCACCTTCCGACACAGACGAACAAACCACCGTCGATTCATCCTCCGATCCCGACAGTTTCGAGAATCGGCTCTCCCAAGTCCGTCTCCGGTACCGTAGTGGAACAGGGAAGAAAGCGGAGGTGCGAAAAACTCGAAAGGGCAAAAAAGGTTCATCTGGATCCGGATCCGGGTCGAGCGTGTTTCTCCCACCAATTCCTCTAAAGGAACCTGTTTCCGAAGGTTTACCCGTTGAATTCGGGTTTAGTCCGTTTTCGGAACGGGTCAATGGACGGATCGCCATGCTTGGATTATCCGCATTGCTGTTGGTGGAGCTTGCAACAGGTAAGAGTGTAATTAATTATCATACGCCGGCGATTGTGTTCATTCAGGTTTATTTTGTCGCCGCCGTAGCGGCGGTGTATTTGAAGAATGAGAAAGAGAAAGTTAGCGTTTGGCCTAAATAGTTGAGCTGCCATTGTTGAATTCTCTGAGATTTTTTTTTGAATTGGATGTCTGTATGATAAACTTCTCACAGCTTGTTTTATTTTAGTATATATCTTATTGTCTCGAAGCAACAGTAAAATTTACTCCTTTTATCATTTATAAATTACGAGTTTGAGTTGTAAAATTTAATACTTCCATGCCCTACATGCAAGGGCGGAGCTTAGTAGCTTTAGCTCAAATACTATGTTCGGCATATAAATGATAATATTCAAAATCCAAAAATTATAATCGGAAATCGATAAAATAGAAATCTTGATTCCACCTCTGCCTATGGGATACAACCCTTCCTTGGATTTTGTGTATGATTCTTACATCGAGCTGTCCTCTAAATCCATTTATTAATATGTTACTTGAGTCATCTTGTGTGCGTCTAGATTATTTTATCGAGTTTTTATCACTTTTTGTCGGTGAAAATATTAGGTAACTTTCATTTTAAGTCAAGGTAAATAAGAAAAAGATCAACTCATATTTTTGTTTCGATTAGAATTTGAACCTTGATCTTCATGAAAGCATTGACGATTAAGTCACATTTTTAAGTTTTTATCATATTTAGAAAGTACTAAAACATCCGTCATATACATATATGCTTTTTTCATTTATATAACAATTATATATATATAGTTCAACGATTTGTTATGTGTTCAAATTCTGAGTATGGAGTAATGTCTTTAGTAGGAAGTATTTTGTGATTTTCTCGATTCATATCTGATTAGTCAAATTCCAAAGCAGATACATATCAGACATCAAGTTGAGCTCTTTGAGATTTTCTCATATTTGCTCTAACATATTATTTTACCCTTCATTTTTTGTGTATTTGTATTATAACCTATTTCAATTATTGTATTGATGCTGAATTTAATAAGATGTTTTTTTGACCTCAATCGATTTAAATTAGGTAAATGACCTCTATAATAGAAATAGGAGAAAATAAGTTTCATAACTTTTTATATCTGATAGAATAATTATAGCAAGTTTTAGTAGCATATAAAAAATGAATAATTTTTTTATTTCACCTAAGAGTACTATTCTCATCGTACACTAATCATATAGATTACAAATAGATTATATAATTAGATTCTTAAATGTTTTCGAAATAAAGCAAAGAGATTGCTTCTATTATTTATAGATTGTGACTTTTCGCAAAGTTAATAATAGTTTATTCAAAAATCAAATTTAGCTATTTGTTTACAAGTTCTCATTAGTTAATTGAAACTGAATCGACCGGTTAATAAAGAAACGTCAAACCGTCGAGACTTGACGGTGGATTAATAGAGATCTCTCGAATTCAAATCCTAAAAATGTAGAACTTTTGATCATGTAACCCTTTCAATAATGGTGGTTAGGGATTCGAACCCTAAAAATGGACAACTTTATGATGGATACCTCCCCAAGTCGAGAATTCAAACCCTGAGATTGAACTTCAAACCCTAAGAATGGACAACTTTTTAATGCATAGCACCCCTTGGATGAGAAAGGGTAAATAATATTAAGTCGAGAATTCAAACCCATAGATTGAACTTGGAACCTTGAGAATGGACAAGTTTTTTTTGTGCATCAACACCCTTCAATGAGAAAGGGTAAATAATAGGAAGTCGAGAAGTCAAACTTCAAGCCTTGAGAAAGGGTAACTTTTTTACGCATGGCACCCCCATCAACGAGAATACAAACTCTGAGAATGGGTACCTTTTTAATGCATAACACCCCTTGGATGAGAAAAGGTAAATAATATGAAGTTGGAGAATTCAGACCCAAAGACTGAACTTGGAGTCTTGAGAATGGACAACTTTTTATGCATCGCACCTTACTTACTCCTTTAGCAAGAGCCTAAGCAAACCCGGATTAGTTCAACTGGCTTCAAATACCGAATAGTTAAAACCAGAAAAACATTAAGAAGGACAGGGCAGGTCTCAGTGAGCTAGTATGTACAACCATCTCAATCAGGAAAACTTTTTGGTCCTTTCGTGAGCCTACTCAGAGCAAACGTGGTTTAGTTAAACCAGTGGCTTCAAATTCCGAACAGTTAAACCAAAAAAGAACTTAAGAGAACGGGAACAACGTCTCAAGAGATGCAAATGAGGTAGTATGTACATCCATCTCATCAATGATAAAGGTGTCACAGATGGTGTTATTGTTAAATATCATACTTAACCTGCATAATTTAACCTTGGATAAGTTCCCATCACTGGCCTGTTTCTCTAACTGGCCAACACAAGCTGGTTAGAACCACTGAACCCAGAAGCTTTACACAAAGCCAGCATGCATATTAGCAACTTAAAACTAGTAAAAATAGCATTCAAGCCAGCATAGTAGAGCATATTAAACTAGTAGTTTTCTCCTCCAAAAGAAAGCAATGGTAAAAGCACGTTCCTTGGACGGCCTACTAGCAACAAGCCTTCTTTTTTTACTGAAATAAAGACATGCATCAGTGCATTCTCCCCAAAGATTCGAGGTTCAATGGAGATATCAAGTCAAGAACTGCTTCTTTTTTATAGAGGAGACATCAACCCTCTTCAGGCAAGAACCCTATTTTGACCGTCGCCTTCTTTCTCTTCAACATTTAACATTTGTCAAGATGCATTCAAAAGTCTGTCTCTGTTCCTCAGTTACACGCAGCATATCACCTGTACACGTCAGCAAGGAACAACAATTCACTTTCGGGAACAAACAGATGCTGAAACAGTGTTTCCCATGGTGCAGCTGTTGATATTTCAGGTTTATCAAGTCAAAATCTTCTTCTCTTCAATCTGGAGACATCAAATTCCTCGTCGTGCCAAAGCTGCCCACTCTGTCTAAAATTACCACCTTCTTGCTCTTCGACGTTTCTCATTCGTCTAGGTAAAGGTCGATCCTTGATAGTATCATCAAATTCTCTGTCTCTAGTATTACTTCTTTCAACAAATTCTGCATCAGCTTCTTGATAGAACCTAAAAGGCCTAGGACCACCACTTGGGTGCAAACGGAAATTGTCATTTTCACTGTTATAAGAAGGACGAAAAGAACGAATGGGTCCTCCACGCCTCTCACCATACTTCCTTCTCTCATCGGTACTTCCACCACCACGAAGATCATGAAATCTAGCAGTGTGTATCGGCCCATCAAAGTACTCATCCCCATCAGCCCTCTCCCGACGATCTAAAACCTCAAGTCTCCTATTGCTTCTAGTAAATACCCGATCAGGTGGACTTCTTCTGCTAGAAAGAGACCTCGGATGACTGTGCTCCTGTACAGCATCCACGTCCCGTAAATCATTCAGACGCCGAGTAGTATATGAGGGGGAATCACGTCTTCGGAGAACTATCTCTTCAGTGAAAGAAGTCCGTGGAGAAGACCTCATCCTATCTTCCCTGTACATAGCTGGTGACCTGTGATGAGATGAATCTGGGGGACCATTATTATATCCTTCATTCAATCTCCTCCGAGGAGATGACCAAGGGCCAGGGGACCGTGTACGAGATCTAACAGGAGATTTAGACCGCATTCGAGGGAAACCTCTTCTCTGCATTGTGGTAAACTTTGTATTGCCCCGAACAAAATGACCATCCGGTCCATCGTTACGTTCAATTTCAGATTCCCCGACAGTAGGTCTACGTTTAGGTCTAAAGCGATAATCAGCTACACCTCCATAGCTATCAAAATCATGCCCAGAATCCCATTCTCTACGTAAACTGTCAAATCGGGCTGAGCCCCTCCCTCTTCCCCGCATGAAGTTCCCCCTTGAGCTGCCAAATGACCGGTCCTGAATCCTATCTCGCACAAATTTAGGACCATCAGCACAAGTTTCTTCCCTGAAAAAAACACAGAAAGAAAAGTCATAGTTGAGCAGCATTCAAATATAAAAAAAATTATGAATCAAACAGCAATAAAAAGAAAAGAAAAATCACCTATTCCTTCGTAGATGAAATTTCTCCTCCTCCATATCTGAATACCTTTCTCTTCCACTTCTTGAAGGCAGTGATCTACCTGTAACAGGTCTGAAATTACTAGGTGGTGTCACATTGGATGCACGAGGTAAGCTGATTATACGGCTCTTGCTTCCAAAATTTGTGATATCTTTACTAGAGGCAGCATTAACAGGTGTTTCGGCATTTTGCAAAGATGACACAGCTGTCGATGACATATCAGATCTTCCAATATACTCGTTATTAGCCTCACCAGCATTTCTTCCAGCCCCACTGCTTCCAACAGGTGTTACGTCACAAAAGACGTCCTTTTCACATCTCTCCTGATCATCTGCTATTCCTGATTGATCAACTGATCCTTGGTGAACAGCGCCAATTGGCCTCTCCTCATCATCTCCTGTTGTTTCCTCCTTACCTAATAATGGACTCTGCAACTTACCATCTTTATGATCAATTTGGACAGTTTTTTCATCACAGCCTTTCACAAGGTCATCATTATCCGTATGAACAGGTATACTGTAACCTTTGTCATCATTATTGAAGCAATGAGATTCCCCAATGCCAGAAGAACGAGCATTTTTGCTGGAAGATACATTATTTTTCTCTGATTCCATCCCCTCAGCAATTGGGTCTTCTTCAATCGATGGCATCATTGGTTCTCGGACCTCACCGTCTTCATATTCCTCATCCTCTCTGCCACACCCCACATTCTCAGAGTCAACATGTCCAGCAAAAGCATGATGACCATCAGATTCATAATCAGAACCATAACATTCTTCTTCTGTACCAGCTGATATACTTATCTTTTCCTCATCATTTGCCGATCCTTCAACACTTGCAAACACATTATGTGGGTCTTGTATCTTTTTGCGCACCATGTGATCTTCAATATTCATGCCCGCTGAAACAGATGCCTCTACTTTATCACTGGATACATTTGATTCTTTGAGTTCAAAGTTTGCATTTAGAGCAGCCATATCAGCATTTGCCTGATCTAGAGCATTTTTAATCCTAGTAGCTTCATTAGTATGAGCAGAGTACTCAGACGGAGTAGACAAGTCTCCACCACTCACAGACAAATCTGAACAGGTAGACAATCTAGAAGGGCATCCCAGTGGAGGGGTCAAAGGCATTGGCAATGTCGAAGAAGAAGAGGAACAAGAGGAACTCTCCTGAAGCTGCAAAACCCTTGCAACTGATTGGTGAGCAATCACATTTGCTGTCATGGATATTTCCTGGCTAACTTCATGGAGTGGTTCACATTTCATTGGTTTTTCCTGAAGTAATTCCTGAGGACCTTTAGTTGACAACTCAATAGACTGCAGATTCTGCCTCACAACTTCAGGTTTTCCTACCTTCGCCTCCAATGTTCTAGCATTAGCTTGTACCAAGGCTTCTTCTACAGGTTCTGACTTAACAGTTTTACAAGTAGTGGAATTCATATTTCTACTCAATGCCAGATTTTTCAGTAAACTAGAGTGTGGACTAACCCTGCTGGAGTCTACTTTAGCTAATGACTGAAGTACAGAGGAGTCAAACCCTCGCAGTAAAGTACTACCAAGACTAAGATGAAGCCCATCCACAGGCTTGTATGGTAGGCTAGGATGTATTGAGAAGGGAATATTAAATTCCTGCTCACTAGATCCAACAACTTGCTTCCCTTTATCACCATTAGAACCCGTAACAGAAGCAGAACTAATAGGCAGCTTTATGTCTGGTAAACTAGATGTCTTACGTAACAGATCAACTTGACTTGCATCTTGAACAGGAAAATCTTCACCAGAATCCCATGAATCCATGGGAGTATTCAGATCCCAGTTAGATCTATTTGTGCATGCGGTATCATCAGCATCATTGTTATTCAATCCATTGTTGCAACTTCCGTCCTGGGAAATGTCCTTCCCTTTGTTCAAAGACAGAGAAAGCAACGAAGGATGTACAGTTCCACGCATCAGGCAACTCCCTGCTGAATTCGGATCAACCAAAGAAGAAACATGAGGTTTCTTTGGGCCTAATGACAGTTCAACATGTCCTGAACCGGCAGGAAGTTCAAGTTCACTGTGGTTTTCCCCTTGTTTGGCAATAACTTCCTTCTTGACAGCAGTAACTACTGTTATACCTATAGCTTCCTGGCTAGCTAGCTTTTGGGTCAATGCTGGTTTCACAATATTGTCAACATTTCTTGAAGTTCCAGAGGTAGCATTAGGGTTTGTTTCCGAAGATATGGATAAAAATGGTAGCATAGTAGGCTTAGAGCCAACTTTCACACCAGAAGGTGTTTCTTCTTTTACCTCTAGAAGAGAGTTCTTGGAAGTGTCAGTTTTACCAGTACTATCAGACGAATTCAAGATCGATTTCTGGCTCAACCCAGAACATTTGGTTTTGGATTCATTTTCATTAGATAAAGATGATGGCTCAGCACAGATAGGTGAAGGAGGTTGGAACATAGAGTTCCACCTCTTCTTAATAGGGATACCTGACGAAGAGTTACTAGACTGCCGAGCAAGAACACCAGGCTGCAAATACATGATGAAATAGAGTGACATTAAAACAAAGAAAGTATAACAGATTAGACCAATTCAGCGGCAAATCAGAGATCAGATTGAGACCTCTTCGTTCCCGGAAACCGGCATGGTTCTAAAGCTTTTTATCTCCAGAAAATATCACTCTACTACAACGAAGAAGTTCAACACATCTGAAAAACTAGATCACAGTCCTCTAATATCACCCTGCAATCAGATATGCCAAAACATTACAACACAAAAGAAGAGAAAGAGACATTCATGATGACAAAAAGAAGAAAAAACCACCCCACCTCACTACCACACACATACACACATAAAACAAAAAAAGACAGCTATTTTTGGAGATATCAAGAGCAGATCCAGATAATGAGTTCAAAATCTAAGCATCTAAACCTCATAAACAATAAGAAGTCAAATCATAAATGACTAGAGAATAAAATAATGTAACAATCTAATTTCCTACTAACAACTAGCAAATCACCAGATTACAGCAAAATTCACAAAAACTCCAACCATTGCCTGTAAATGCGAAACTACAATAGTCAAAAATCATGAATCTTCTAAACCCAAACTAGCTTCGGATCGTGTCACAGTTGATTGATTGCAGATATACGAAGCAGTTAAGACGATCCACCGGACTTATACTTGGTCAACGTCCTCCGCAACACCCCCACCAAACACAAAAGGGGGAAAAACCCAGAAACACCTCCACCCACCCACCGTCTCTATAAAATTTAGGCGATTGTCGAGTTCTATCAAAATTAAGCAGACTATAAAGAAAACAATCGATCAACAAACACAATACCCACCACCAATCACAATTCACAACAGTCAAATAGTCCAAATCTATTCGATTTCCACGAAACCCCATCTCTAAAAACCTCCATGGGTAAAAAAAAAAAAAAAAGCAAAATCATCACTCATCAGATCATATTTCAGGTAAACCCCAGATAATCAAGAATCAAAAAACATACCTTTACCTGACAAAAAATCAATACATACAAAATTAGTCACTCATCAGATCCCTATTTCAGGTAAAACCCCAAACATTCAAAAATCAAAAAAACACAAAACTTTACCTGACAAAAAACCACATACCCAATACAAAGCAACAAGTAAACATGTAGAAAATACACAAATCTAGCATTACAAGAAGAAAAGTGAGAACCTTTCTTTGTTCTTAGACAGCAAAGAGTATTGAATGAGGCAAAAAAATAGTTTTTTTTACAAAAAAAAAAAAAAGAGTGATAAACAGAGAAGAAGAAGAAGAGGGCAGAAAGACTTTGGTTATGAATTTTCTTGGTGGTTTCCTTTCGGTATATGTGATGGAAATTGGTGTTTTGGTTAGGGTTTGTGGACTTTTCAATAATTGCATACTTTCCTTTATTCAAGGCCCTTTATTGCCTATCTACCCACCATACCAATTTTTTATTTTTTTTTGGTTGTTCCATTTTGGTCTCCATATCGTAATTCGATTAATTTAGATTCACACTTCAAAAATCTCTAATTAAGAAAAGAGCCAATTTTAATTTCTTATTTTTTTTAATTAAGAAAACAGTCTGAAAAATACTTTAATTTTGGTTAAAATTATTGTTTTGATACTAAACTTTATGAAGAACATTTTATCCTGCACTATTTACACTATGTTTGGATCATTGTTATTCATTGTATTGTATTGTATCGTTACTTTACCTAAAATATTTGTTTTGATTGTTACTTAAAATGTATTGTATTGTTAAATTTCGTTCTTATGTAACAATGAAAACCCTTATTTTATGGAACAACCAATTTGGTGTGTTCCCACTGTTACTTAATTTCTTTTTTCAATTAGATATTATATAATATTTCAAAATATTATTTTATCATTTATCTTGATTATTTAAATCTAGTCAAACCTCCTATCCTAAAATAACTAGGATATTTTAATAAATTTATAAATTACAATACAGTTTGATATGATCAAACCAAACAATTAATTTGTTATTAAACAATAACAAACAATACAGTCTAGCCAAATATTGTATCTATTATACAATACAATACAATAAAGTATAATACAATACAATACATTATGAAACAATGTGTAACAATGATCCAAACAAAATGTTAATAGTGTATTTTAAAGATATATGTATACTCACGTGGACATATTACTATTTATAATGATGCAAATATATATGATGTTCAAGTGGATACATATTTACTTTTAAAATGTACTATTAAATAAAATAGTACGAGAGTAAAAGATTATTTTCAAAGTTTGATATCGTAACAACGATTTTGGCCAAAATTAAAATATTTCTAACATATTTTTCCTTTTTTATTAGTGATACTTTTGACTTGTTCTTGTTTTTTTTCTTCTTATATGTGAAGATAATTGCACAAGTTGTAATTTTGTGTTGGTTAGGTGGCATACCATATGTTCCATAATCTTATCTTTTACATTGCTTGAAAACAAAACAAGAATCTAGAATAAAGATTGCTTTTAAAATTTATCATCTAGCTTAAATTTTAAGAAAGGCACAAAGGGGTCAATTTTTCAAGTGATAAGTCATTTATTAGGGTTAATTTTATTTATATAAAAATAAATAGAAGAAATGATTGTTTGGTTCATAATTTATCACAATAATCTATATGGAAAGAAGACAGAAAAATTTTCAATCTATCTTGTTTAAAATATTCTAATCTCACATATTTTTTCATTCAATATTAATATGGCTATATATACAATTACTTTTTATCATTCTAATCAAGAATTTATAAATGATAACAATATAAATATGCTGAGTATTTAAAAGAGATTGATCTTAAATTTTAGTTTATGGTATACTTCATCAATCTGCATAGAGCCAATAATAGGATGCAATAATAACAAATCATTAAATTATTTTGTTTAAAATAATATTCTTCTCTTTGAATATCAATAAAGTTATGAAGTTAACACTAAAAATAAATTAATTAATTATATATAAATATTTCTTCCGAAAGGTTCAAAATAGTCCCTCATCTTTGGGTTAAGGCTGAAAGTGATCCTTGATTTTTCATATAGAGCACTAATAGTCCTTCATGTTTGCAATATTGGTGCACTTTTGGTCCTCCCCTAAAATTTTGCCTCCTAAAATTTTATATAAGAAATGTTCGATCGTCTTTTTATATATTTAGTAGAAATAATAAGTCTATATGAGAGAAGGTCATGAGAAAAACACCTTGTTTTGTTCACTAGAAATATTACTGTAGCTAAACTAAGAACATCTTAACATATGACTTTGCAGAAAAAGAAAAAATTGTACTATTATCGTGATGAGCCTCTTGACTTTACCTGCAATATGATTTCTACTAAACAAAACAAAATATTTTTCTTCTCACATACTTTCATATGGAGTTGTTATTTCTACTAAATATATAAAATGAAGATTGCACATTTCATATATAGGTTATGGATAAAATCAATGCTAAAAAATAGATAAATTTTTGGATGAGAACCAAAAGTACACTAATATTGCAAACACGAGAGACTATTACTGCTCTATATGAAAAATCAAGGATCACTTTGAGCCTTAACCCAAAGAAGAATGGACTATTTTGATCCTTTCCTCTAAATTTAATAAGAAAGTTATACTATTGACAAATGTATATGTGTATAATTATGTAAAGAATCTAATAGGAAGGATTAATTCCAAATTTATCATCTAATTATTATTATTAATAATAAGAAAGCCAAAAAAAGAGGTCATCTCTAAGATGCCCCTAATTGGATTCTTCCCTCTATATATTAATTAATAAGGATAAAGCCAATTTTTTATATATGAATTTTAATTGTCCTTTGAATTAAAAATTTATAATGTTAATAATATACATATTATTAAAAGAAGAAAAAAACTTAGTGGATTCACTATAATTGTTATTTATTAGTATTTCCTATGAGATAATTCTTCGTCCTTATTTTAGTTGTTATATTTTGAGAGTTAAACGATATGAATTTTAATTAATATTTTAAGATATATTTTACTTTATTGAGTTTTCTTTCAAAATAGCATCGGTGCGGTCTACTACAAGACTATCCTCCTTATGGAAATACGCCGGATATGTTATATTTGTTTTAATTTAGACAAATAATTTTATAAAGTCCAGGAAGTAAAAATTTCCTTCAAAGACTTCCAAAATCCCCTGTAAAGAAGTACACGATGGACAGCTAAAAGTACAAGCCCGTCAAGCTACAAATTTGATAGAAGGAAAGAAAAAAGTGAATTAGATGGACCTAATTAGAAAAAAAAGTTGTTATCTTTAATCAAAATGAATGGATGAAATTTCCTACTTATGTATGTTACGGTACATATTATTGTCATTTTGACTGATTATTTATCTTTAATGCAATAAAGTCTAGTCTTGATACTTTGTCAGTCACAAAGAAATTGCTAAGGTATTTACCTTATAGTTTCAAATAAACAACAAATTTCAGGCAACGATGGTAAGAATCGCGTTCCTTTGGACAGCCTACTAACAAAAAGATTGTAGCAAAAACATGCATTAGTGCATCGATTCAAGGTTTGATTGAGCTAATTAATAAATCTTTTTCAACAACAAAAAAAAAATGTATGAAACATTGTTTTTCATAACAATTGCTAATATTGCAAGTTTAAAATCTTCTTTTCTTCAATCTGAAGATAGCAGATTCATCTTCAACATTTTTCATTTGTGTAGCTTCTCTTTTTCCTTCGCGATAATTCCTTTTTTCTTTTTAATCATATACGACCTTTTCGAATTGTTAACTGTACCTCTAATTTCTTCACCAGTAACTTGCATTATAGTTGTTGTTGGGTGTTATGAGTTTACACCTTAGCATTAACCACATTGCATTTGAGATTCGTAAGGACAGTGCTCACATGAGACAATAGCCCCGGTCATTCACTCGGGGTATTGACTCGGGTTGCGATCATTAGATGTTTTAGAAATTTTCCTGGTAATGATCTAAAATAGAGAAAGACTATTCCAAATAACTTGGATACATCATCAAACACCTTGAATGTACTCAGGACTATTTAATTTTGTGCATCATCCAGCTGAAGTAGACACAAGGTTTCTAGTGATATAGAGAACATGTTGCTTTTTACCTTCAGCTTGTTCACTCTTGTGCTTTCTTTAGGTTGACATAATTACACCCCTACTTTACGCCTAAATATTACAACTTCTTAGTGCCTTGATTATAGGAATGTCCACTATACATTATATCATATTTGTAAACATTTCTAAATATTCAAAATCAATTCTAGGGAACAGAAGATCATGAGAAGTGTGCATTTTTTCATATACACTGCTCTTCTCAACTCTAGCAAATCTTGGCTATCCCTCACGAGCATCATGAGACTCTTTACACTGCTCTTCTCAACTCTAGAATAAATATGTTCCCACATTACATCATTTGAATCTTGAATCTTAACCATCCTATAAAATCCTTTTCATATATCTTCACCCTTCTCGTCTCTTTCATATAGGTCCTATAAAAATTTGGAGTTCTCTATGTGAATGTGTATAATATATTCTGCATATTTAATTATAACATATAGTTTATTGTCAGTCAATGCTCCGAGAAAAACATGTATAGGTCCCTTCATTTTCTTTATCCAGTTTCCCCAATCCCCCCCCCCTCCCCCCCCAAAAAATACCATCATCAATAACATCTCAAGATTCACATTAAGGAAAAAGAAAAGCTCAAAAAAATTAGAGGTATCTGAAATGAAGAAAAAAAGGATAAAAACACTAAAATCTAAAATTATGTAAAAGAACTAATCACTTGTGAGAAGCCCCTGCTAGTGACGAAAATAGTGAGCGGAATACCAAGGGCAAAAAACAATTTCCAAACATGCCTGAGTAAATAAAGCGTAATTAGGAACTTGAAATTACAAAATTCTACAATAAACTATTCAAAAAGCAGAAAATACACAATAAAAGAAGTAAAACAAATTGTGACTATCAAAAATGTGAACCTGCTAGTGAAAAAGGGAAAAGGGTCTGATATACCCCTCAATTTTGTCATTTAGAGCTGATATACCCCTTGTTATGAAAGTGACTCATATGTACCCCTACTTGTAAACAAATGACTCACATATACCCTTTTCCTCTAACGAAAATTAAAAAAAATAATTTTAATCTAAATTTTTATTATTTTTTTCTAAAATATATAATCTCATATGAATAAATTTAATCCTCGTCAAACATATTTTTTTTGACTTTTTTTGTTTCAATGACTAATTTATAATTATTATTTAATAATCAAATTTATTTATGTTTCACTAATATTCTTGTAAACTTATTATAGATTACCAAATTTTTTCTTCGAATACGAAATTAAATTTCAATACACAC